ATTTCAGTTATTTATATATATATAATACTTTAGAAATATATATATATATATATCGTTCCTTTTTTCTAACAATAATAAATTATAAAAATTTGTTTTTTATGAATGTCCTTTTTAGTTTCTTATCATCAAAATTTTTTTACATTTCTAAAACATCTGATTAGTTTTGTGAATGCCTAGTAATAATTAAACGCGACATTCATATGTTGAAATGAATATATATTTTGAAATAAAAAAATTGATATATTTCTATCGTTACAAGCCAATAGGATGTCGATTGCTATCGCGAATAAATATGTTTCATGCGAGAGAGAGAGAGAGAGAGAGAGAGAGAGAATCTTTGAATATTTCTAATACACAATTCACTTCATTCTGCGTCCTCTTTTATTTACACCAAAAGCACAACTAAATAATCAAAGAAATAGAGAACAGAAAACAGAATAGAGAACAGAGGATCAATATGTATCTAAAACAAGGTGAAAATTACTAAAATAAGTAAATTCACTAGATGTAAATTAAAATTATACATTCTAGTAAATTTTTCTAATAAAGTAATTTTAATTCTAATAAATTGGCTCACTTTTATCATTTTCACCTCGATTCAAGATTTACTCGCATTACTTGAAATCCTCCAATATTTTTTAATTTAAAAGAGATAAATATATATTCAAGCATTGAAGAATAAGCGAAAATTTTAACTTCTGGAGGTCAAATGTATCTTGAAAAAAGGTGAGAATGAGAAAGAAAGAGAAAGAGATAAAATTATAAAAATAATAAATAAACTCACTAGGCGTTGATCAATAAAATTATAAATATTCAGATAAATTTACTCATTTCTATCATTTTCATCTCGTTTCAAAATCCATAATCAATCTCCTGTTTTCTATTCTTTATTCCCCGATCCCTATTCTTTTTATTGCCTCTAATGTAATCACAATTACGCATATCAACAGATACCTACTATAACTTCCGGCAAAGAAATAAATTCAGAATTAGTGATTGCATAATAAACAGACAGGTAATACCGTCTAATCGCACCATTGATAAATGTTAATACGAATAAATACATTTGCCTTCAAGGAAAAGCAGAGAGATATCGATAAGACCAGTCGCGTTACACTATCAGTGGAATCTGAGCTGTATCACGCTTTATTTACAGACTCCCTTGATCGCGCGGGCTCCATGGGAAAAAAAGAGCGCGGGACTCGCCACTTGCGGCGCCGCTTAAACAGCTGTTTAAGCGGCGCGCTTGGACTGCTTGGAGAAGCGAGACCTGTGAGGCAGCGGAGTGCGTTGAACGGCGTAGTTATTCACATACGAGAGTTTTGAGGTTAGGATCTACTTGTGAAGGGACGCGCGAGGATGCAGCTGAGACGATCTCGGATTCCTGGAGATCGGATTCTGTATCTTGAAACAAGATGAAAATAGCAAAAAAGTGAGCAAATTTACCAAGTACTGACCTGACTGACCAATAAAATTATAAATATTCTAGGAAATTCGCTCACTTTTGTAATTTTCGCCTCGTTTCAAGATATGTGTAGAATTCAAAATGTAAATAATCCCCTGATCGCAGTTTCTTTTCGTTCATTTCGGAGCGTTATACGCACATTACTTGTTTACGCACACGCGTAAACAACACGAGAGACGACGCGACGCTACAGATTTATTATTTATTTTTATTGACGCACTGAACTGCATTACAATCTCCTTTTTCAATTTCGCTAAATATTTAATATAGGATCCGCTGCGTTCCTTGCACTTTTTGTACTCAGAATCTTCGCTTTTTCTCTTTTCAACGCCCGAGTATGTATTTAGGTCTGCTCGCGTTGCTTACACTTTTTACATTCAAAATTTTTGCTTTCTCTATCTTCAACGCCTGAATATATCTTTATCTCGTTATAAGTACAAACATTTTTTTAGAGATTTCAACAAATTTTATGCAACGCGAACAAACCTGTTATCTCATTTTAAGCAAAAATTTTGGGGGATTCAATAACGTCAACAGACTTGATACTTTCATTTCACTTCGACCTAGTTTTTTCATTTTCTAGTTAACTTGTGGTTTAAACTTAATTGTATTTAAATCTGATAATAATGTAAAAATTGTGTTTTTTTTTAGCTACAGTAAATTATTAAAAACTTATTGGTTTTGTAATATATATAACAGCTTCAAAAAATATTCAAAATCATCAGTTTGGTTTAGCTTAAATTAAATCATCAGTTTTCTAACTAATTAAAAATAATTTTTATGTTTTTCATTATTTTTATGTATTTTATCAAGTTGAACCTAATCATAAATTAAATACAAAAGAAAAAAACCAAGTCTCTGAATACACAAAGCCTTCTCTTTTTAATTGAACTTCTTGCACGGTCCATCATTTCTCTTATTTTCTCTAATATGGAGAGAAAAGAAAGAAAATGAACCGTGTAAGAAAATTCAGCTAAAAAGAACAGGCATGAAGAATATACTCTAATTCATGTATAAACAGATTAAGGTCCGGTTTTTCATTATTTGATTAACTTGCGATTTAAACTTGACTTACCTTACTTAATTTGACAGTAATTAAGAAAATTGATTTTTTCTTGCTGCAGTTAATCACTAAACTAACTACTTTGCAGTAATAATTTAATTTCAAAGTTATTGACAACAGAAGTCAACTCAGTGATCAACCGTATATTAAAAAATACAATTTTTAATTTATCATTAGAGAGTCGATTGTCTTAAAATGAGATAAAAAAGTTACAAAAGCGAGCAAATATTCACTAGAATATTTATAATTTCATTAATCAATATCCAGCGAATTTGCTCACTTTTATAATTTTCAACTCGTTTCAAGGTACACAATCGATTCAAACTACCCAAGTCTAACTGCAAGTTGACCGGTAAATGAAAAACTGGATGCCAATGACGTCACGACGAATCACGAGTGACACGCCGCTGCCTTCCGACCGTTCGATCGACTCGCGCGTCCCAAACCTAACCTCAAAAGGAACACACCACGCGGACGCGATTCTTCGCGCCCGCGGAACATGAGATAAAGAAAGGATTCATGTAGAGTACATACCCTCACGCAAGCTGAAATACGTCCTCCTTTGTTCCGTCACACTCGTGCGGCCTCTCTCTCTCTATGCGGCGATCCACTTGGGAAAAAAAACAAGCCGGCGACGCCGTGAATGATAGACGAGAGAAACGGGTAGAGATTGAGGGGACACACACACAAAGCAGGTAGAGATCCGGTCGAGAAAGTAAGAAAAATTCGCACTTATCGAACACACTGGACGATGCAGATGTACATGCGCGTATACATACGTACGTAGATTTATGTACGGCGTTATAATGCGCGGGGGAGACACCACGGTACGTTTTCACTGATTTCAACAGTCGCGCACTTCACCAATGGAGTAGATTTCACAGGTGAGGCAGAGGAGGGGGGGGGGGAAGAGCGACGAAGTGTAGTAATGTCGGTGACAGCGGTGGAGAGAGGGGGAATAGAGCGGGGTGGGGAGAGGGCAAGAGAGATGAAAACTTGGATACTCGATGTTACGGTATACTTCCTCTTCGCGCGCGAAACAGCGCGAGCACTCGCGAAACTGGAGGAGCGCACCTTCGAGGAAAACGGAGGGGAGAGAGGGGGAGGGAAGGGGGGAAAACCCACCGTCGGCGCCGAGTTTATCGTCGAGCTGTCTCCGCGAGCATAATGAGCAGCGCGGGGCACCACACTTCCCTCGGCCCCGGAACGTGCCGGATGACGACGCGGCTTCGCGCACGCACACAAACAAACGCACGCCACACGCACGCACGCACACACACACACGCGCGCGCTTATGCCAGGTACACACACGCGGGGACACGACGAGCGCGAGCGCGGGATTGTATTCTTCGCTCGTTGCGCCTTTCCTTTCGCCGATCGCAATCGGGTCGCGGCCGTGAAACTTCACTGTTGGTATCCGCCGGCGCGTTTCTCTCTCTCTCTCTCTCTCCCTCTCTATTCTTCAAAGTCGATCGGAGGACGCGAGGAAACGGATTCGCGGGGCGACGATTCAGCGAGTCGCGCGGCTGGGCGTAACGTGCGCGGCGATAATAGCGTTGATAATGTCGGTATACCGGAGGTTTGACGATCCGTCGACGACTATGACTCACACACGTGGACACACCGCTCCACTCTGCTCGGCCGCTTTGCCGAAGCACGCCGAAGGCGTCTCTTCACTGAGATTCCGTTCCCGTGTACGTGGAATACCTTTCTCCTGCTGCCGCTCCTCCGCGCTCCGTCAAAAGTCAGAACGAAGCGGTTGACAGTCCCGTACTCCGAAACAGGAACAGCGAGCGCGCCACCTGATCAGGTGGCGAGGTGGTATATTAATCCCGCGCTCGTAAGGCCCGGGTTTGTTTTCGTTGGCGTGCGCGAGAAAAAGAAGGAACGAGGGAGACGAAACAGATGGAGCACCCTCGATGTCGCCGGTTCCTTCAGGCAGTTTCAGATTCTTTCAGGTTATGACGATCGCGATGTGACCGCGGTGTGAAGCCTCGCGGACTACTGACAGTACTGACTGACCCGCTTACACTTGGCCGTTCGCTCGTTCCCGAGAACTATCACGTGGTATTGTCTTTCCCTCGTCGACGATGTCCTGCACTCTCCTTTGCACTCTGCTCGAAGGAGCCCGGGGTCCCCGGGAGCCCGTGACGGGACGACGGGCGCCTTAGGGACGCGCCCCGTCGACGATCCTCGCGCCTGATGATCACGAGGCGGCCGTTCCGTCGACGCCGGCGCTGCTGCCGCCAGACGGATGGAAAAGGAGGAGGAGGAGGAGGAAGAGGAGGAGGATACGCGGTGGAGTGCGCGGTGCGGACGTACTACCGGCTGACACCCCCGCGACAGCGCCGCAATGAACTCGCCCGGTACCGAAGGGTCAAAAGCACCGCGGCAAAATAATAACAGAACGCAGCCGCCGACGCCGCTGTCGCCAACGACAGCGCGTGAGCTGGGCGGTCGCCGCTATTCCTACCGCCGCCGTTGCCGTTGTCGTTGTCGTTGTCGCCGCCGTCACACGAGCGCGACGACCTTCCTGTCTCTACTTCTACTTCCTTTCCACCACCGCCCGAGACCAGCCGTCACCGGCAGCGGCGTCGTGCCGGGACAATGCCGCAGTCGACAAGACGGCACGGCAACAACAACAATAACAACAACGTCGTCGTCGTCGTCGTCGTCGTCGTCGTCGTGCGCAAGTAACACCGCTGCTATTCCTGATGTTTTTGTTGTTACCCGTCACGGGATTTTTGTAGCTACTACTGTCTACGACGATGCCGTTGTCGTTGTTGTCGTCGTCGTCGTCGTCGTCGTCGTCACCCGAGAGAATCCTTCTCCTGCCGACGTTGTTGATATCGTTGTTGTTGCTGGTGCTACTGTTGACGGTAGTAGCGATGTTAGGGATGACGATAGTGGTGGTTGTTCGCGGCCGCGGGTTTTGGCGGGTTTCCACGGGCGACGAGCGCGCACACCACTGGCACACACCGCGGCCGCCGTGCATTCACCTCGTCCTCGCAGGCCTCGCAGCACGCGCCGCCGCCGCCGCTGCTGCCGTCGCCGTCGCCACCGCCGACACGCACCGACGAGCGCTCCTCCTCGCCAGCTCGCGTCGCAGCCGTGATCGGCTTCTACAGGGTTCCCGGCTGACGCGTGAACGCCTTGTAGGAACTGTTCTGAATTAAGATCGTTGCCACTGCTACTGCCGCCGCTGCCACCGCCGCTGCCGCCGCCGCTGCTGTTGCTGCGGCTGCTCCTGTGCCGCCACGCCACACTGAGACACACGAGACGAGGTTGTCTGACGCACCACTGGCTCGCGGACGCGCACGAACGGGCACCGATCGCGACGACGTTGAGCGGGCGCTCGAGCACGCGGCTTCCACGACGGGTAACGCGCGACGTTCCCGCAGCACACACGAGAATCGTACAACGTCCTAACCGCGGGAACACCGCATCGCTTTCACGGGCGAACATGGAGCTGGATCCATGCCGAAATAGTTGGCGTAATCGGCCGCGAGGCGGCGCGCGAGAGGGGCGCCAATGTCGTGGCGGTAGAGCGCTTCAGCGCGGGAGAGAGAAGGAAGGAAAGATAGCACACGCGCGCGCGCGTAGTCGCGTACCGAAATACGGCCTTCGGGGCCGCGCCGTCCGACACTCCGATCGCCGTCGACCACCGCCGACGTCCGTCACCAGGCCTGCCAACGCGATATCACGCCGCTTGACAACAGCGGATGCCTCCGACTCGCGTCAGATGCCGCCTCCGCCCAGCGCACACACGCCGCGCCAGTCGCCACTTGGCCCCGTGGATTGCACTCTCGATATCAACATAATGTACCGTTTCATTCATTAAATTGTAATTAATTAATTCAATTATCCCTTTGCTATATAAATGAAAATTGCTATATCCCGTTGGATATGACTTTGGGGTGAATGTACTAAAAGTCGTTATTAAGATATTTGAAAATAAAATTATTCCGTTTGGATATATATTCTAAAAAATTAGTTTATCTGAAAAAAGAAATTCTTTATTTTCTTCTTCGAACGATTTTTCCTTCTTTATTTTTACTATTTTTAATAATTTAGCTAATACAGAATTAATAAAAATGCGGTGATCTTGGCATCAATCTGATACTTTGTAGAAACCCATATTAAGCCTAAAGAATCACATATGTTAATTCTTTGTAAAGAACGTAAAAATTATAATATATTAACGAAAAAGAAATATTTTTCATAAATTAAAGACGAAAGTCCATTCTGAATTTAGGCAACTGAAATCTGTAATCACTATATAACGATTGTAAACAGCTTTTTAATATATACAGTTTGTTGTAAAAATAGCGATTCTTTAATATTAATCTGATACTTGTCGATACTTGTTAAAAATTCCATATTATGTCTAAAGTTTGAAAGAATCACATTTTGCTTTTTTAAAAAGAACATAGAGATATAATACATTAAAGAAAAATAAAAATAAATATAATTTTATAAATAAAAGACAAAATCCGTTCTGGATTTATTCAAGTGACACTACGACTGTGTGTAATGATTGTAAATTCAAAATCAAGAAAAAATAAGAAGAAAAACCTCTCTTCTCTTCTAAAATCGAAAACAAATCGATCAACATGATGAATTTATTCAATTGAAACGAAAGTGAACGTTCCAAGTAAATCCGATCGTTTTGTCAATCCATATTATATAGCAATTGCGAATAAGGTCGATTACTAAATGTAGAATTAACTTTCATGAAAAACGTAATCATTTTATCTCATGGAAAGTAATCATATCATAAAAAGAAAAACGTATCAATTCAACAAAGATTATTTCTTTTCTCTAGCTAGGCAATCGGATTTCGAGTGACAAGTTTAATCACAAAGTCAAAAAAAGCGACAACTGACGACTTAGAGGGAAAGAACGTTTCGTCTAAAAGCGGATGATTTAGAATGAATCATGAGCTACGTAAACGGGAAATCGACTCGACATGACGTAGTTGACTTGGCACATGCTCCTCTAAGATTTCTGTCAAGATCATTGAGCGATTTTGCGATGATACATTCATATCCGCAAAGTCAAGCGGAATTCGTGAGCAATCTAAACCGGACGTTCATAAACTGAATGTGCGCTAAATTGCAGTATAAATTGCTCGCTAGAGTAATTTGAATCGAACAGTCGTGCCGGAAGATTAAAAGAATGCAATTTGCAGCGCAATTAACTTCTAAAGAACGCGTCGCTAGGGATTTATGTTAAATTTAACAATGCAATTATTTTTTCTCAAAATATTATTGGCGGTGGACATATTTTTAAATAATCACTCTTTGCAAATTGCAAAAATTAATTTATATTTGCAATATAAGTTTTCACAATTTTGTTGCAAAAATTCGTAGACATCACTTACGGAACATATATAATCATGAAGAATAATTTACAATTAAAATTATTTTAAAAATTTTTATTTAATTTTTATCAATAATTCATTATCATAATTTGGAGTTATTTTTTAAAAAATATGTATTTTTGATTATAATTACATGGTATATGTTGATATAAGCATTAAACAATCAAAAATTTTATTAATGTGCACAAATAATTGCACTGTAATAAATTATTGGTAAAAAAGATTCTTACATTGTATATTTTTTAGAATTTTTATATTTTAAATTTATAAAGATTTAAAAAAAAAACAAATTTTTTTAGCTATAAGTTTTCTTCTCGAAAATTATAAAATAAAAAAATCTTACAATATTTCAGAATTCATATTCTGGAAAAGATGTAGAATTTCTCTGCATTTCTAAAACATGTAAAAAAATATAAAATTATATAAAAAATTCTGAAGTTTATAGTTAAGAAATTCTGAAAAATTATATGAATAATTGTAAAAAAAAATTACATCTGGAAAGCTTCATAAGATATATATTACGTACTAATAGCTTGCGCGACAAGATGGCGTAACACTGATAAAATGCTGTCTCTGTAAAAAATATAATACATAAAATCGAAACACAGAGTAATGCAAATGAGTTTTATTTATACAAAATAAAAGATTACGAATGAACGTACGAGACGTTACGAGACAAAACTGTACAAATTGCATGGCATAACATGATGCAATACTCGAGCACTGTGCAACGTATGCAATCGCTTTTAGGATTAGTTTGCAGCATACATTTTACTAATAAAAACATAAGATGCATAATTAAAAAATAAATTTATATATTTCTAATCAACAATATATTTCTAATTCTACATAAAGTAATTTATCGCATAGAGAATTACTTGTAGTTATAAAAACATAGAGATATACCTATAGTCAATATATTGAAATATAATAGAGATTTTTACAATATCTTCAGGATAAAAAACAAAATTGCACACTAATTCCTATAATATAAATTTAATTCGTAACTTTTATTATTTTTGTTTTAAATTTTTATTACAATTTCTTTTAAATCTACGTTACATTTTCATTACGTTACATATACTACGTTTTCTTAATCCTAAAGCTGTATTTTGTTGGCAGAAATTGTTGTGCAACGTCGTTGTAATATATTAATGACACAAACAAAATAACAAAAGTATCGAAGTATGTATCAACACTTATCATATCTATGAGATCTTACGATGTAAGATTACATACATGTATATAACCATTTTGATTGTGACAACTCTTATAATAAAAAGAAACTGACGATGATATGATGCTTTTGCAGATACTGGTGTTCTTTTCAGGGGCTGTATGCAAAAGTATTGCTTTCATCAAATACACTTATGTAAAGTTATTTGAGCATTTTATGCTATGTAGTTATTTTTTCACTGTTGTTCACCATAAATTCATATTTGAACTTTTGATATTTATCCTGAAAATTGTATTCTCTTCACTTTTTATTTAACATGAAATAATTCCATGCACATAGTATCATAGAAATCAGTATCATTTAATGTTTGATCATTTAGAAAATATTTAAAATATGTAATATTTTTTGTCGCTTTATATATATATATATATATATATATATATATATATATACACACACACATACATATATTTTTTTTAAATATATATAATATTAATAAAGTAGATTATATATTATTTGTTTAAAAAACATTTTGTGTATATAATGAATAGTTTTAAAACTTGCCCCGATAGTTTCCGTGACTTCGGTATGATCTTCCTCCTACATGTTTTCCTCGCAAATTATGACTTTTACCCCTTGAGACTTTCCCTCTTCCATGCCAATCAGATCCTCTTTGGAATGTATGGCCAGTCATTAAATCATCATCAGATTCTTCTAGTTCCATCGGGCTTTCTCCACGGCTATGATTGCTTCTTCTATCATGAAATTCATCACGTTCGATAGAACGTCTTTGATAATCAGGCGAATATCTGTCATGACTATAATGGTCACGTATATTAGATTGAGCAGAAAACTCATTGCTTCTAATAGGAGAATCCAGCCTCGAACTTCTAGATTCATGATTCATAGGATCTAAATGATGCTTCTGTTCGTCGGATCTTCTAGAAGGAGATGACTGCCTGTTCCAAGTACGTCTCTGCGAAGAGTTACTTAAACTCCATCTTAGATCCTCTACTTCGCGAAATTTGGATCCATATTCGTAAGTATCTCGTACGCTCCAATCTAAACGATCCATTATCGGCCGTCTCTCTTCTCTTACCTGCTGGAGATCGTTTGCATAGACCTGTGATGCAAAGTCGACAGTGGTAACGCGTACTTGCACGCCTTTAGTTTCTGTTTCCACCTCATCTGTCTGACAGATTTTCTGATGCGTTTGAGTTGTCTTCGGAACCGGTATCGGCTGTTCCACATTAGTCTCTTTCCAAAATATCTTAGTTTTACTTTTCTGCAAAAGTATCGAATTCGATGTATGATCGTCGGAAACGTCTTTCGTATTGTTCTCTTCGCTGCGATCATAGAAAAATCTACCCTTCATCTTTAAACGCGGATCCTCCACGGGAAGCTGATATATCGCTTGTTCGCAATGTCGCATTATTTCAGGCTTGAATCCTATCAGTAGAAAAAAAAAACAGAGTCGCGTAGAATAAAATTCCGAATTATATATACCATAATGCTTATAAAAATAGGTTTTATGTCATATTACTTGCAATCTTCACGTACGTTGTAAATCACGTAAGAGAAAAATGTTTTTAAACAAAAGCACACTTTAATTCCATATCTAATCACGTCACACAACTCATATGGCGCAATTAATAAGCAATGTAAATTAAAAATTTGAAAGGTCTTACCTGGATATAGTACCGGTATATTAGATGAATCTAAAGGACGGGATAAAAACAAAAATTAGTATCGTTCCATAAATAGGATACACAGGAAACGTAGTTTGTATCCTTGTAGTCAATCAAAAAAAGTGAACTCTATCAGTTCTATATCTTTACGCGATTTTTACGCGATCAAACAAATTAAAACATACTCGCACCTTTGGCTGAAACAGATGCTTCCAATAGACTGGATAAGCTCGTTTTTTGCTGCAAGATGAAGTCATAAAAACAATTAATTTTTTTTCTATAGATAAAATACATGATTGAAATAAATACAATCTTCATGACAAGTTTAAATTAATTAATGCAATTAACTTTGACATACCGATAAACATTTCTTGTCATAACTTAAAACCAAATACTTGTCACTATTATATATATTGCAATTACTTTTGGTTTGGAGATGATCGGTGGTTCAGGTGTCTTCATTCGTTCCTGCTGGGGTGGAGAGTAAACTTCCTTGTACGATATCGCTGATCCATGTTCTGAATAATTCTGCTTCTGCGACGACGTGGAAGATGTGATTGAATGATTTACAGATTTCTTTGGAGGTTCAAATTGACGGATCGATGATTGTTGGACAAAGGGTGCAGTATACGATGGATTATACGATGCATGTGCACGATCCATCACGGGAGGAGGTACAGGTTGCGGCGAGGGTATAGGAAGCAACGGTGAACACATCACCGGTGGCGGAGCAGCAGCAGCAGCAGCAGCACTCGGCTGATTGTACATAACCGGACCGGATGCATAACTGGTTGGAGTCATGGTTGGGGCAATGGTTGGGGGAGGCATAGATTCGAAATTCATTAACGGTGCAGTCGGCATAGGTTCAAAGCTTATAAATGACGGTCCACTTGACATAGGTGGTAACATAGCTGATGATGACGATGGCAGTGATGGTTGTGGTGGTGGCGGCTGCGTTGGTGGCAGTGCCCTATCCGTTTCTTGCTGATATGTGGACGGATTGAGTAACGGTGCAATCCCTTCCATCGTCGCGGATGGTACGTATCCACTGGTGTTCACAGCAGTCGACATTGCTTCATGTCCTAGTTGTCTTGCTAGTTCATTGATGAAGGGTGAACGCTTCCTGGGGCGCTTCTCCAATGATCTGCTACGACTTCGACGACGAGGACTGTACCGTCTGCTTACTGGTGAACGGCTTAATCGTCTTCTCGAACGTTCCATACTGCGACTCCTCCGATCGCGAGATCGGCTTCTTCGGCTTAATCAAGATAATTACTAAGATATAATCTATTTTCATATCGTATACGTATTTGTACAATACACTAATACAAAATTAGCAAAATCTAAAAAATTATGTGTCTACCGTAACCAATATATATATAGTATAATAAATCATAATTACAATATATTTGTACACAAAATACTATTTGTAACTTTACTGTACACGCAGTATAAAAAATAATGTTTGACCACGTGACAGTAAGTTTTCAAATCTTTTTTCTAAACCGGAAAAAATTTTAATATCTCTTAACAAAGATGTTAAGAATATTGTCTCCTCACCGTTCATGCATCCAATCAGCGCGTCTCCTACGTCGCTCAGCACTCCGTCTTCTTTCTACACTGGATCGTCGTTCTCCACTAAGTCGTCTAGGACTTCTTCGTCGAGAATCAGGACTTAATTTGGGACTTCTCCGATCATAGGAGCGCGGTGAATTTTTCAATCTACCTGGACTGTATCTGTAAGGACTTCTATGTGTTTCTACGCTTTTTTTAAAAGGGCTCCTACGATGATCCGGGCTTATAAAGGGACTTTTTCGTCGATGAGGGCTTAACCGAGATCGATCGGGAGTTCTGCGCCGAGATGGACTCGCTCTTTCATAACGTTCTAACGATTTACTTCTGCGATGCTCTCTGCTTCGTTGAGCTTCACGCTGAGCTCGTTCTCTATTCTGTTGTTCCTCAGCGATACTCTGGATGGCTTCAGTTTCCGTACCAGGTGGGACTACGTTGTCAGAGTCCAACAAGTACTTGATCGCCTTCTCCTTTTCGGCAAGAAGCTTGTTTTCGGTGTCTCTCTTCGTTCGCATCTTATCTCTTTCGATGTCCTTGGTGCTCTTCAAAGGATCCCGCCGAGTCTCCTCACGTTTTTTCTCTTCTTTCTTCGGCTTTTTGCGTTTGTCCTTCTCGGGACGATGATGTTCCCTATAATTACTCTTGCCATCATTTGTTTGCTAAAGTATGCAAACTTCCATATTAAACATAATAGATTGTATATGCGTAACATACATGTAGCAGAGAGTAAGGAAACTATCTGACCACGTAGTTTTGTAACTTATAACTAAATTACTAAAATTAGAATTAAACATAATACATTTGTACAAATTAATGTAATTAATTCAATCCAAGAAAAATCATGGCACTATTTTTTTACAGAAATTGCACTCTTCATAGAAAGAGCGTAAAACGGCTTTATTTGTAATATAAAGTATAGTAACAATATAATATTACATAAAAATTTACTTAATTATTATTTATTTAATGACACTACCTAGAGATTTGGTTCTTTCCCTGCTTTGTAGATTCTGTCCTGTTTTGCTCAATCTCGCGGTTTTTATCTTCATCTCTTTCCCATGCATCCACGACGTCCAATCCTTTCATAAAGTCTTCATCATCGAGGAACTCATTCAGTTCTTCATCCGGTATTTCTCGAAGACCCTTGATTGCACGTTGCACATCATCACTGGTACTCTTCAACAAAGGAGCCTCCAGTAACTCGAATTGTTTCACAAATATCCTGCCAGTAATATTTGCATCTTCTTTTTTTATTTCTGGTTCTTCTTTCACTTGAACAACTTTATCGTTTGCATCGTCCATATTGCTCACTAGTTTGTATAATATTATCTCTGCAGTATTCTCAGGAGTCTAAAGTAATCAAAAAAATATCTTTGAATTCTAAATAAAATCTAATTATATTCCTTGTATCTATAGGTCTGTTTTTTTTACTCCAGCTTTTAGAGACTGCAATAGAAGTCTCTTTCTCGCTTTTGCCTAATATCTATGTATCTATCATTGTAAGTTCCAAAAGTGTACATCAGTTTAGAAAACAGACCTTGTATTGCTATTGCAATTCACTTGTTAAATTCAACAAAAAATATATGTATAAGATGATTGAACAAATTTTGGGATATCGAGTTACATCATTTCAATCATTATTATTGTCATTTCAATTTATTGTTGCAATCTGTATTCTTATATATTCAACAAGATCTATATTTCATTCACACACACAATCCCAAGTATATCTGTATTTTATCTTCAGTATCATTTATCGATATTGAACACAGCAATGCGACTCTTTAACGTTTAGACGGTTTTCAACTCTGGACGTGTAAATTTTCGGATTCAATTTTAGCACACTGATAAGTATTAAGTATACTAACGAGCACAGTGCTCCAACATGTGTAACATGTAGAGTAGGACGATCGATTCCGATCGAGAAACGAAATAACATCAGAGCTTAGTTATCAGTTTGTTTAAGAAAAATGAAAACGTGGTTTCCGCTTGCCGGTGTTGCGGGATTAATGTGAGGAAGAGTGCCCGACGCAGGCAGCCTCACATAAATGTCGGAAATAGCGAAATCCGTTAGAATCGAAAGAAATGGTAAATAACGACGCAAATCCGCAAGATTTCATGCGTGCGAGTAAAATACCCGAATACACAAGAAAACACCTGTGCTTGCTCGACGATGATTCTGCTCTCTTTCTCTCTTTAACTCATTCAGTTGACGAAAATAACCTAACTTCTAACAAGACTGCGTTCGAAAACACCACCAGTGCGCAATGGTTCCTGCACAGGACGCGGAAACGCTCACCGCGCGACAAGAGTCAACCAATCAACCATCCAGTTTTCTGGAAAGAGCATATACGTACGTATTTTTCATCACGCGGGAAAATTTGAATGCGATCCAATTTTTATAGCGCGGCAAAAGCGTACCTTACGAAGGGACTCGATCGTGTATCTTGAAAATTACAAACGTGAACGAATTTACTAGAACATTTATAATTTTATTAGTCAACATTTAATAAAATTACTTACTTTTTTTAGTCAATATTTAATAAATTCGCCCATTTTTTTTGTAATTTTCATTTCGTTTCGAGATATACAATCGATTCTCAGAAGCGAAAACCAAGTAATAATTATCTGTTAGCAAATTTAACTTGCATTACACTAGATTAGTGCATACTAAATCTAAAAGCATATAAATATTTTAAACAATTTAATTGTAAATGATATTGTTACGTTATTTAACAGAACATATATATGTATATATAATTTCATTGTCAAAGCTGATTATATTGTCACTAGATATTTAAAAGCAGCCTTTTTTTATGTGTAATAATCCAGTGTAGTGCGAATGGTCAAATTCACCATATGTATCACTTAAATTAACAATACAATTCTGCAAGGCAGTTGAGTCTCACAGTTGAGTATATTCCATTATTGAGCATTAAGCTGAAATAACGCAATTATTATATTTAATTTTTACAACGAGTTTGAACTACGATTGAATTATAAATCAGTATTATTTTATTAAGTAACACAAATAAGTAATATTGAATTCATTAATTCAATTATATTTAACGTATGGAAAAAAAGATTAAGAACAAAAATCTATATCAATATTTGTGATAAGAAACATATTCGAAATTTTATCTTAAACATAAGCGTTGCTACATTCTGTGTTCAGAAATAATTACATCTGATTTTTGACGTCCGTTTCAATTTGCCATTTTGTGTCGGAAATGTTATAGTAGGCAAATTAATAGGTTTATTCCCTTTGGTGTTATTCATTAACTCAATTATCAAATTCGACAATTCCTCCCTCTTCTTCGTTATGACAATTTCTTCAAACCATGTTTCCAAGGTTTTAATTGGCAAAGTATAATCTTTAATAGGATCCTATGAAAAGGGAAATAAACTCATCACATTAATTATACGCGCCGTAATCAGACATATAGAACATAAATTAAAACATATAATAATAAAAAATCAAATATTAAAGATTTAATGTGTACTTGCCTTAAAAAAACTTTCCACATATTGTAATAAATACAATCCGCAATCAGTACAATTGGATTGCTTGGGTACTTTCGGATACGCTCCTTTAATAGTATCTTTCGAGAATGTCTCTTCTACACCAAACTTGACAACATATTCGCAACTTAAATACTCTCTTAATGTAGTAATTACCGATGAGTAATTAGTACCACCGAGCGAATCGAATATTAATATGCAGGGACTATAAATTAAATTATTTAAATATTAAAATCACAAAAACCACAATAAAATATTTACACATTAAATAGATATAAACGTGCTGCTTACATCTTGATTTCTTTCTGCTCTTTAAGTTCAATAGCTTTTCTTTTTAATGTTTTTATTTTTTTGTTCTTTTGTACGGACTTAGAAGAGTCTTCGCCCATATTAGAAAAACTAACGAGACTATCATTTTTGCTAATACGTTTGGATACTTTTCCAACTAATCCAGGAAAGCAAATAATAGCCAAGAACCAGTGTTCACTATAAACAATATTATATTGTTATGCAAAATATGATATAATCTATACCTATGTTACGAAGAATCAGTAGAATTATTTAAAGAATAAAATTAATAAAATTGATTGGCCCATTTATTACAAACTATTTAATATGAGGTAAATTTCAATACAAGACACAGACATATGTACGATAAAACTTCAATGTTTTTCTTTTTTCTCTTATCTATACAATTGAACTCTTTGTGCAATGGATTTTTTTATCTAATATCCCAACCATATTGATTCCAACTTTTAAGATCCTTTTAAGGTCCTGACTGTCCTGAGTGAACCCAGTACGGGACACTATGGGTGCCTTTCAACAAGCGACTCAA